TTTCAAAAAAAATATAAAATTTCAAAATTATTTTATTTTAAAGAAAAAAAATTGATTATATTAAAACAAGATTAGCAAAGCTGGAATAACAGTAAAGAAATAATTTAAATTGTTTTTCAAGGATTCTGGAACAACAAGCCTTTATAGCTCAGTGGTAGAGCGTCAGTCTTGTAAACTGAAGGTCCGGTGTTCGATCCACCGTGGAGGCACTTTTGTCACCCGCGTCCTCGACGCAGACGAGGGCTTTTCAACGCCAGTGAGAATCGGCGTTGAAATGGTCATTCTGGACAGTCTCATGAACCGTCGACGAGGGATTTTCAACGCCAATTAGGATCGGAGTTGAAAGGCTATTTTGGACGGTCTCATAAACCGTCGACGAGATCGCTGAATCTGCTCCGTGGATCAGTGAATGCGTTGTCAGACAATGTCAGTCGCTAGAGCCTTCTCCTCGCGGATTTTGCGCTCCTGTCAACTGCAGACGGACTTTTAAAACCGGGCAGTGGGCACCCATGTTGCCCACATCGAGACCAAATCCTGCTGCAGGATATGAAATGAGGGCACAATATACTCTGCACTGCAAATCCAAACATGCGAAGGGCACAGTGCTTGGCCTCAAGCCCTCACTCACTCGCTGCAGACAAAACTAATCGAGTGTTTTTGGGGCCTTATGTCAACAAGAGTTCTCATCTCCTGCCGGATTTGACAGATGTATTTAGTATCCTCTCACTTGAAGGCACCCCTACAAGATTGTAGCCAGATCCTGTGGCTCATGGGTGCGATTCGCACGAGGAGGAAGGAGGGAGAGGCATGAAGACTGAGATTTTCTGGTCGGCAGCCAATGTTGAAGAGTTGACACTAGGAAAAAGACATGCAACCTCGCTAGGTGGTATACCTCATTCTATTGCAGATTAGACTGTCACTTCAATATTTGATGCAATTAATTATGTGCATGAAGAATCACGAATGGGCTGCTTGCAAAAGAGACATCGGATGATATCTGGCAATTTTTGAAAGGACTTGAGCGAAAAATGCGCTACTCTAAGCCAGAAAAATGCATCATCTCTCTCGAAAGGGGGTTTTAAAAAAAAAAAAAAAACTTCTATTGTTTTGTTGGAGAGAATGTTTTCCTCCAACAGTGTCAATCAATGTCATGCGATGAAAGGATGATTCAGTTTTATCCAATACCTCAGATTTAAGATGGAGGGACATGACTGCAGCAATTTTCATGGCGTTTAACCTCCCGTTTGAAGGTCTCGCTTTGAGTGGTTTCTGGGGATAAATGGCATCGGCATCTCGAACTAGGAGTCAAGCATGGTTATCCCACCCCACCTTTATTTCCACTCCTTCGTTATGATATGTTCAATAAAACGAGCGAACTGAGATAAGAAAGAAAGCCACTCCATTGACTGGATCCGAAGTTAGAATCGTCTTTATCGACTATGCTGAGCAACGTTGTCAATGGGCGAGGGCTTCTTTAGTAGCTTTTCGTTTTAGGACCTACTTTCTACAAGTCTGTCTTCTCAGCAGTTTTGCTATCGATGAGACGGAAAACCATTTGGCAAAATTTGCTAACTTCAACAAGAGGTTATCGTGAGGGGCATGAGCAGACCATACTATTTAGAAAAATTGTGAAATTTTGAGGAGTCTTAAATCAATTGAAATAAATAATGCTCGTGTCACAACATACTTCTGAGCATACTTTTAATGCCCTCATATCATCCATTTAATTAGGAAAAGCAAGTGGAAACTCAATCATATCTGGCCTTTTCGTGCTATCAGGTGGATACGCAAGGTCACCTTGTTCCCTTGCTTGAACCCCACCCTGTCACATGTCTGCAGAATCCATCTTTATGCTGATCGTTGGTCGTCGCACCTGGGTTCCGAGAGAAGCCACTGTGCAGGTGTCCTTTGAACTTTTCAATGGGAGAGAAAAAGTTCCCAAGCGCGAACACATGCAAGATGGACAAAGCAATAAGAGTAAAAAATAAGAAAGTCGTCCTTCCATCTCTACATGATACGAATCTTAAGAGGACATGAAGAGCTTTGTGAGACTAGTCATTCTCTAGAGGAGGATGCCGAATGCAGTGGGCTCGTGGAGATGTTCTTTTTTTATTTTAAAGGATAATCCTCATGTCTATACTACTCAGTCAGATACCATTCGAGATGCATGCAGACTAAGAGGAAAGATGAAGAGAGGTTTGACCGGAACAAAGAGAAGGCTCAAGAAGATTGGTTGTTTATTTATTGTTTTCTGAGATTGGGGATCATTACGCTCAATCCAGTTGTTTACGCTGTGGAACGCCAAGCAAGACTGACGTGTTACACGAGTTGAGTATGATGTCAAAGTAAGTGTAGTAATGATTTGGAGTGAACATAATTATAAAAGCTGATTGATGATCGTGTTGATCATGTTCTCGTTGAAGTAGCTTGCAGATCGCGAGGTCACTCACTGGAGACGTCAATCGATTCGTTTGTGCTTGTTCATCGCAGACACGTGGATTTGTATTTAATTGTGCATAATCTGTGCAGATGCCGAATCTCTTCGAGAGTCTGGCATGTGTCACTCGCTCGGGGTTACATAAACACTTGTGAGAGGAGATTTGGGTCGACATACCACCACTCTCTTTCTCTTATATCATCACACCGGATCTTTCATATGAGACTTGGAAGGAATCAAGACGAAGTGCATGTGTCGACAGGAAGAAGTCCTTGCCTCTGGATCGTCTTCGCCAGGTCTGTTTTTGTCTCATGGAAGGCAAGCTCAGACAGCAGAGAGCCTCATAATTCGTCAGCCCAGGACGATCGCCGTAAAGTACGATTATTAGCGATGCATCATGCAGATCATTCACACCGACCACTAGTCAACATACTAACCAAGTCTTGCCTACATTGGCTAAACTTGTCCCTAGGACAAATTCGTCTTCAATGGATCCAAGGACGGGCACCACCGTGACCACTTTTGCAACTCCAAGAGTGGCCTCCTCTGCACATCCAAATCGAGTAATGGATCCCACTTTCTGACCGTGGGTCCCCTGGAGTGCTCCTTGTGCTACTGCACTGACGAGGATTATGGTCAGTGAAGCTCACTGCACTGAGCCCATTAATGGCAGACGGAAAAACGGGCACCAACTTTGAAGCCTACCTTATGCATGTCCTAGATGGGCGACCGAGTTATACGTCTACAATCCGAGGCTTCCATTGTTTCAGAACCACATCTCCCTTGCAAGATGACCAGCGAGAAGTCCATTTTATTGTAAATACTTCTTCAATGGATTTGGCGAGAGGACGTCTGAAGCTCCAACTTCGAATCTCCATAGAATCTTCGAGCATGAAGAGGTCACTCTCTACTTCATTCCATCGGCCAACATCCCATCAGGAGCTGAAAAGCAGATGTCTGAAAAGAGACTTGCGGCCTAAACGGCCTAAACCTCTGTATGTACGATTTCTCTTCACGATCGCTATAAAGCTTACGAGTCTTGGCGCACTCACATGAATCATGGTCTGGTGTGGTGATCAACCTGCTCAACAAGCTGAAGCTGAAGAGAAAAGTGAACAGAAGAATATTTGTGTGACTTTGAATGACAAATGTGAAGCTACACGAACCATGATGGTATCGAGATTGCACATTTTGTCCTCTATACATATCCGTCCTTCCCGAAAAGAGACTTTTGAACTCTACACCTCGTCATGATCCCATCTATGGTGTATTCACGCTATGAGGGGAGCCTGGGAGGACAATGGAGGTTGGTAGTCAGATGCATAGGCAAGCACCATCGTTCGGTGGTCAGCGACAACTTTCTGATTCGGTGAGATTTGACAGTCTACTAACGAAAAGAAAACCGCTTTATGATCCTCGGCCAGGCATGTACGAGCAGATTTGGTTGTCTTCTTATTTGATCCTCTCTGATTTAGGATATTTTTATCGCACTTATCTCTGGGCTAGTGCATATTTGCAAGCCTCTGATATTCCAGTTGCAACACCACTCAGATTTGTGGCATGCGGCGTTGGAGGTTGAACTGATGTCACTGTGATGGTCACTTCTAGTTTAAGTTCACGGACGATCCAATTTGTCAGAACCTAGAGTTCGAGGCTCGAGGACGATGATCGCTTTGTTTCTGCACTAGATCTGGCAGGTTCCTAGGTCTAGGCTCAGGCTTAGGTACTGTACAAGGTTTGGACAAGGCACTCCAGTGGTAAACCCCTGGGCCTGACCATGAATTTCGCAAATGGTTGATTAATCAACGTTTTATTCAAGTGAATCGAGCGTGGCTCATGATGTAATGGGGAGGAAAAGGCTTGTCAAACTTCTGCAACCGGGGTTCAAATCTGGAGCTGCTTTTCCTTGTCTGAGGGCTGTGTGAGCACAAGATGTCTGAGAAGTGACTGCCTTTTACAACTCAAAAAGTGACGTGAAATGTGTCACTAACCAGTCCTTTCTAGAAGCCAGATCCTCTTTCACTTTTGGAAGCAAAGACCATCTCTCTGGCGACAAGCGATGAGTTGAATTCCACTTTCTACCAACCGGGGGAGGGGCGGGGGTGACATCACCCTACTCAGTCAGAAGGCCTTGTTTGCATTTGGCTGGAGAGGTAAAAGGTGGCTCTTAGCATCAGCTTTCATGTCTGATTGTCATTCCTAGTTACCTTCCTCCTCCAGATCTTACTTGTTTCGAGTAATTCCTGGCCCAGAAGGCCTCCCGATGGAGGTAGCCTTTCCCTCCCAGCCCTCCCTTTGTACTCCCCTCCAGTTCGATCTGGGCCAGAGCAAAAGGAAACGAGGGAGGAAGGGCGAGCCCAGAGCCCAGAGCATTTACTAACATTTGCACGTGCAAGTCTCTTGTCTCCCTGCAGGAGCACGTACGGTCAGAATTGGGCCAAGCAAGCCGTTGCGGAATGAAGCCTGCCCTTGAAGGACATGCAGACGGACAGAAAACAATGGAATGTATTACAAGTTTCCTTTGCCAGCCATTCTCTAGGAATCCCATCACCGGCTGGGCAGGCTCCTGCCGGATCATGTAGCTAATAGGAAGCTAATATGAATCTGGTGCGGTCCCGTCCCAGAACATACCCAACCAGCAGTCTTTCGCAATACACAAATCAAAAGACATGTGATACTATTGAGGGCATTTAGCTTGTGCGCCATGTGTTCATTCCAAGGCCACATCTTGGCGATTGTGATGTCATGGTGCCTGCTTTCAAGCCAATTGGTCTAAAGCTAGGGATGCAACTTCAAACTAGCCGAAGCCGAGTGGTGCAAAAATGATGCAAGTCTGTCACTGATGGCAAGGGAGATGATTCCTTTGGCCAATTCTGTACACACATGACACATGACCACAAACTTGGCCTACTTCAATGCTGTGCTTGAACTGAAGGAATTTCGGTGGTGTTGCAATTTCGGTTTCAGTGGTGTACTTGTCATCGCTCCTGGTCTCGTTAATGTCGATCATCACACGCAAACTGTGACTGCAAACTTCTGACTTCGGAGTCTGAGGTCGGCCGGTGATGAGATTCATGACTTTCTTCGACTCGACAACTTGCATGGACAGAGAGGATCCTCTCAGAAATGATTAGAGCTGGTGCACAGGGAAACAAACACATGCACGCAGCGTGAAGCACAGAAAGCGACAATGAAGAGTGGCACGAGCTCAGTACAGCGGTTCCTCAGTCTTAGGAACATGGCTCGAACTTGTAACGTAGACTTTTGTCTCACACGAGGCGTAGGTACGCAGCAAGCAAGAAGGAATAGGGTCACAGAGACCGCCATCGCCATGACTTTCTGTCCTTTCGACCCATTCATCCTCTCATCACTCATAGGCCGTCCTTTGTTCTATGACCTGTCTCGACCTTCATGCTGTACATCGTCATTAGATCTTTATCTGCACTCTGCCCTTTCAGCTGTCAATCTGACCTGCTGGAAGTGACATGCGAACACAAGGGAACATGCCAATCCCAACCCAAGCTTGCCCTCTTCTCGAAGTAGATTGCATCGTATGCCAAGCGTACTTATGACTTCTATTAGCACCTTGAGGGGTTTCGTGGTACTGAAGGGAGTATAAGCAGGCCTGCCAAGAAAGTCACCGGTTCAAGGAAAGAAAGCAACCTATCAGCATCGAGTGCCACGAGCTGAACATTCGCCTACGATGAGGTACGAGCAATTGAACTGATTTGACAGCTGAAATCTTGGCCAAGGGCGAGGCCCACTCTCTGTGGAGAGTGGCACTGACCAATGGCGGAACTGACTCGCAAGACGAAGAGGGAGCTCGACCCACAGCAGTGGGACAGATGTGTGGCTCGACCAGAAGGCTGCAGGTCAAGCAGTTAAGGTGTACTTGAAACTTGGCCCAATGATCCCAATCTGTAGATTTAGAGTCTAGCTGATTGATAGCACTGGGCAGTTGAACTAGCCTTCAAGAATTTAAGGCTTTGTTCGTACACGAGAGGACAGAATGTGACGACCACAGCCAGGGTCCAAGAGACAGATCTTTATGGTCTACTCGAGCTTTGTAGGTCAGTTGGCAGTGTTAGTCATAGTATTGAGCCATTCAATTCTGTACAGCGAGCTCAAACTAACATCCAAAACAGGAAAGACCTTCATAGTTCTAGAAGCCTAAGCCTCGCTTGGGCACGTTTATGAGACACTTTGGGATAGCATACATAACCAGGTCAAAGGGACTTTAAATTCTCATTTAATGCTACTTTGCACTAAATTGTAGTTAACACAAAGATGTTAGTTGGTGATTATTGGAATGCTCCAACACTGTGTAGATGGTCTATCTAGATAACTCGGATACGTGAAAAATAGTGATTATTTTTCCGTAGCCCAGGCCTCGGAATTCTATAATTACAAAAATTAATCCAATTTATGGATTCTATTCATCTCAATTTGGTAATTTTCTAATGAATATAATTCAAAATCACGCCATTATTCGATACCGTTTTGGATTTGATATCTGTCTTACATAATTATAACTATATTCTTCAAGTGTAAGTCTAATGGTTTTTTTTTGTAAATGCATTGATTACTATATTTGACCATCTCATCATATTACAATATCTCAATGAATGATATATTTTAATTATTTGGAGTTCATTCAATAGTATAATTGTGGAATTTAATGTACTTCTGATTTTTTATTCATGGATTTTATGTTATGTTGTTTTCCCTTTGATTATCATCGTTTTTGGTTTTTTATTTTTTGGAAACAAGTCTCTAGAGATGATTAATATCACAACTTAAACTCTTTTGCTCGGGTTTATTTTCGAAAGGAGTGGATTTGTTATTTATAGTATCCCTAAAAGATATCAAGTACAGATTCTACTGATTAATTGAGTACGTGGCGTGATCTTTGAAGCAAAGGGAAATTTGTCCCAAATTCAATAAGTATGATCAGAAAACAGTTTCATTTATAATTTTGACTTTAATACATGGACGAATTAAGATTTACTTTTGGTTAATTCTGTAGGCAAATCCCAGAATTTAGGAGGCCTGCCATAGCCCCATTCTACCCCTTGGTATATGACTCTCTTATATGTGCTAAGAGCTGAGAGAGAATAATATTGCAGAGCATTCATCTGAATGCTTGATGGTGTGACAAAGAGATGTACCATTCGTAAACAGCAAGGGGTTTGGGAATTCCGCCGGATTTTCTTCTTGTGGACAGCCTTAAGTTGAGAAATGCGCACAAGCAATGGAGCAAATGTCGGCAGCAATGTTGTCCTGGACTCGGACACTCAGAGGATACGCTGAGATTCTCAAATCCATCTCTCGCTCCTCAAGGATGACGACTTCGTAAAGGTAGGCTCATACTCTTGGGAAAACGGTCGACTACGGAGCATTCTTGCAAGAAGACTTGCCATAATCAGGCGGTACAAGGTCTAGCCAAGAGGTCTCATGTGCAGATGATCTCTGAACTTCTTCTTCCTGGCCTTGAACATTCACAGCAAAGGTCACGAATGGTCTGGTCGAGAGGACACAGTCTCTTGGCGGTTTCGAAATGTCAGGCGAAGCTTCCATGGGTGAACATTTCGTGTCTCACAGAAGAATAATTCCTCTGGAGTCTTTCAGCATCGCCAGAACCTCAGCCACCAACATAAAAATTTGACCACTTCTGAAACAACACTGCAACATATTTCCCTGAATATAAGTCATTCTCTAATGTGATCACAGACCAAACTTAGAAGTCCGCCTGAGTTCAGATGAGGAGGTGTCACGCAGTGAATTGTCAAGGCCTCAGAAATCCAAAAATTCGAGATGATAAACGATCTGTTTGCGAGCAACTCAGCTTCTCACGTTCTAATCCTTGGCAAGAATTCACCTTCTTTACGAGCTTGAAACAAGAGTTTTCATCCTGCCACTTCGACATCCATGTACATCCACTTACGCTTTACTCTACTCCTTGCTTCTGTCTTCTACCAAATGATATGGCTACAATCACTGAAACGAAATAGGGAGAAAGAAAGTGCTTCCTCCCTTTACAACAACACTGGATACATGAGTTACATAAAAGTATGTGTTACAAACTGTATGACATCGTCTAAATCAAGTTCATCCATTAAAGCACGATCGATCGAACAAAGTTCACTCAAATGACTTGCCAAAAGACCTGATAGACTGAAATATACTATTAACGTTTATTGTTTGCACAGAAAACATGACTTATATGAGATCTGCTTCACATCAGCAAGTACCGATCAAAACTTGACAGTAGTTGAAATAATTTCTGTCTCAAAGTAGCGATTCTGAAACATTTAAATGTACACTAAAGTACTCATATTTCGGATACAATTTTTTACAATTATGTCCTTAACTAGTTACGACATATTTGTCGAATGAAGATTTTCGAATCCTACAGTATATGTTATGTACATTTTCTCAGCTCTCGAAATCTCGAAAGAGGCATTAAAAATAAAAATGATCACTTAAATAAGGTGTGCAAACACATCCAAAGTCTAGATAACATTCAAGTAACTACTTCTCGGCATCACCTTTACACTTCCAAAGAGTCTAATATAGTAGGGGTCGAAATTTCGTTATAAGAAAATCATCGGAATAGAAAATCAATCTAAAATTTTCAATTATGACCCAATCATTGTCACCAGCCACAGCTTGGGCGTCTATGGATTGGACACCACAACGCCCGAAACGAAAGAACCAGTTAGGAAAAATTGCGTGTAAGTAGACGAATCTAGTTCCAATTGCCCAGTCGTGATCAAGTGAGCTGCGTAGAGAACTGGTGTATTGTAAAAGATGCGTGTTGCTTCCTTTAAAATTATTTCTTTTCTTGAGGCTTTGAGAGTCCCGATAATGCTTTCTGTATGGTTGCTTTGGTGCACGCAAAAATGCCAACAAGTTCTTCCAAAGTCCATACATCTTTCGGTAAATATTGAAATGGTTAAAATAAAAATATAGTGAAACATGGATACAGTTCTCAAAATCTGATTTTTATCTTGTAATTACTTGTTGTTGTTACAGTCTCCTGACGACATGTAAAACCAAGGCACGGTCTCGAGTTTGTCTCGAGTTATAACTTGGGAGCTTTAATTTATACGATGTGTAGTTTGAGGTGGTCTGGAAATGTGCATGATTGTAGCTAAGGGTCGTTCTGTTCTTACGTTGGTCGTGTATGGGAAACTCGTATTTATTTACGGGTTTGGAGTACAGTAGAGGTGAGGCCATGGCCATGCGTCTGGGTGTGTTACGGGCCATAGTAATAATTGCTTCTTGGCATTGCACATAATTTGGGATCAGATTAGATTGACAAGTGACTGCCAAATCAGTTGGCGGTCCGAGCAGCTTCCTCGGCGAAAGACATCACGACATATTTGGTACAAGTGAAGAGCTCTAGCAACTTCCCACCAGCACAAGAAAGCTCTTGATTAGATTGATTGTTACCAATTTTAACACTGCCACCTCGCTATTAATTCATTGAAGCCATCATCTGCAAGAAGCAGAGCTCACATGTACAGCAGAATTCAGTAACGCCCATTTGAATGAAGATATCAAGCTCGATGGAGAAGGAATGGCATCACCGTATGATCTTGTTTCTAGCGAGAGGCCAATTTCAGCAGCTATTTGTGTGAGGTTTATACTCGCTAGCGATGGCTAAGCAAGCACAGCAAGCCACTCACGAGAGCTATTTTCTTGAGAACCGCCAGGTACTTACGAAGTGAAGGATTCTAAATCTGAGGATCGCTTCTTGTGGACCTCAGCATGCGAAAATTGAGGGCTACCAAATCACTAAGACATCGAGACTTCATTATAACGGAGCATATAACAGGATGCAGATGACCGTGCGTTGGTGTGCAATATTGTCAGTGCCTCTGAGCTCTCGTCTTCGAAGCCCTGACGGCGACTATCGTCTTCAGAGTGCAAATTACGACGTGCTAAGAGCATCCTGTTGATTCAGCGTACTTGCTCGGAACAAAAGTCGATGCCTCGTAAGTTTCCACGTTTGGTATTCCCTTGCCTCAGTTGATAACTGTTACATGAAACCTTGTGGACCGACTTATGCATCGTACTGCCAGTCCCTGTAGCGCATCATATACTGGCATAACACAAATGCTCAAGGACACACACATCACCTGGTCCAACAAACTCCAAATCGAGTAAGAAATTGCCAACCGAGAAAACAGCAAATTCACACGAGAAGTGTCGTGGACATGTAATAAAACTAGGACTTCAGGAGTTATCTGATAGGAGAGCGCAGGTAAGGTACCGGAAGTCCAATGACCGCACGTTTCTGGGCTCGTTTGCATTCAGCGTGACACAATAACTGAAAATTCGTCTGCACATTAGCAGGTGAGATCCACTGACACCAAGGCGTACGAACGACAAGTACAGCCCCGTGTCGGCGATAGGCCTCACTGACTGCGAGGCTGGTGATCATCCTGCTCGCCTGCTCGCATCGTAGTTGTTTGCTCGAGTTCCGAGGAGAGTACTAGTGAGCACACAAACGACACACAGTCGAAAGTCAACTGTCACGGCGTCAGTGGGCGCACTGAGACGCAGCAGCTTGGCACATGAAGAAGGTTTTGTGGTTGTTGGGAGCTAGCTGAGCTGCACATGCATATGCGTATGCTCATTGTCTCCAAACTTCAACAGCCCTACCAAAGATCGAGATGGAACTGCGGCACACGAAGTCTGTGCAGAAAGTAGAGAAAGTTCGATTGAGACCAGTGACCGCAAGTATTGCACGTGGGTTCACGAAATACTGTTCCTTGGGATAAGCAGCCTTCAGAATTTTAGTAGTGGATAATCAGCAGTAGATCGATGTACTTGAAGTGCTGTCTACATGGATTCCAGATGCGAGAACTGGCAAATTGAAATTCGGGCTGAGATCGTGACTGAGATCTTTCATGAAAAGACAGTTCCATTGCTGAACCCTCCAGTTCATTGAAATAGTTGGTGGCATTTTGTTTCTTGAATGTAATTCTATAAAGACCTCTTTTTGGCTCCTTATATTCTTGGCTCAGAAAGTTGATCAGGGTCAAATTTACTGAACTCACGGTCTGTAGTTTCCTGCGAATGAAGGTTTAAGATGTCCATCCGTTCATCTGATTTAGAAATTGAAATGAGAAACAAACTAGTTCTAAGTGCTAGCTGCCAGCTTTGGGATCAAACTGCGATTGGTGTTCTTGAGAAGTCAGAATAGAAGTTCCTTCCATCTGCAAAGCGATACGTATCTCGGTATAAGACTAGCCAGTGTATATTATGCAATGTCATACAAGGCAACAATATCAGTGCAATGGGTGGGGTGGTCTTCATCACTCGGCTTTGGATCGGCTTTCAATCAGGGTATCACTCTGTAAGAGGTACTTGTAGTGCATGAAGACCAGGCTCCGTCGGTAACTGCCGAAGCCTGAAGAGCTTTTTGCATGTATTCTTCATCTTGGAGCAAATAGAGTTGTGACAGTCTTTTTCTTCTAAAGATGATTCCTTCTCGGTTAGAAGAAATTGGCTTCTCTTAACTTCTGGCAAAAGCTTTCACCTTCAAGCATCATAATCGGGTGATTTCATGGTCGGTTTCTTGCCTTGATCATCACACTCGCTTCTCTGCAGGTGCTCAATTGATCTGATAGCCACAAAGTCTATAAATTAATGCCACAAACCCTGGAGTTGTGCAGATGGAAATGCGAAACATTTGTTGGCTGAGGTGAATTCGCTTAAGCTGGGTTGTGTTCAATCCATTAGGAGTTCATCAGATACTGGTGGCAATTTTTTGGCTGGTCCCATTCCAGAGTACTCGAGCAACGTGGAAAAGGGGTGCCACCTCTGTGTCGCTTACAAAATTTCTTATGAGCCCATTTCATAGATGCGTTTCGAAAGTTCAACACTCGGATTTCTTTGGCCCTTCTCGGGAGCATCTATCCCAACAGATCTCGCATACATCGACTAGACCTTCCGAAACCTGACACCACCATTCCCACATCTACACGACCAATTCCTCTCTGAGTTTTCGTTTAAAAAAAAAAAGACTCTGATCATCCTTAATCCAACGTCCAAATAAGTCTGGAACAATTACATCCTGAGGTGTTAATCTTGTCCTGTCCCTTTTTAAGCGAGTGATGAGATTTGTTGGAAAGTACCGACGGAAGCAGGCATGAACAACACGAGGCGCTGCCACTATCTAGAGTTTGAGATGAAAAGGATGGGAGATATTATTCAAGGATAGAGTAAGAGCAGACTGCTCTGCTCTCTGACTGGTCATTCAGTTGATGATATAGAGCAGACTTCTTTCAAGTCCCATCATGGAGTCTGAACTGTTGTATATTACAGCGACTCAGGTAAAAAATCACCTGGAATCAAACCAAACTCAATCCAAGTCATCGCAGAACTGTTGTTAAAGGGCATAGTATGATCTTAGGTCTTACAAACTTTTGTAGCCAATCTGTTTCAGGTGATTGTAACATGTACATGAACAAACATCTTTCCATTTTGCTCGATGTAGGATCATATGCAGGGAAGCTTGATTTGACTGGAAATACGAGAGATTTGTTCTGACTTTTGAGAAGGAAAACAGTAGAGAAGATTCTTTCTGAGCCTTCACCACTTAATGAGATGAGCAGTACTATCTCGGATTCTAAATTCTCCTACAGTCCGAGCTCCCAAAGATGACATACATTATTTGTGCAACCAGCTATTGGAAGTATCGTCTGTTGGTGTTCTAATGTGTTCTTATCCTTGACCTTGTTATACAACTTGTCTATGCTCTGAACATCTGGAAGCAGCAGGGTGGAAGGGAGGGACTTACAAAATATCAGAATCTGTTTCATCGATATAAACAGCAGAATTGAAGATTACAAACCCAATTTCTGAACCAGCGGAAAGCAAGTGCGAATTATTTGTATGTAAGCGGAATTTCACCGCTTAGGATTAGTCTCATGGTGTCCCCCATTGCTTCTTTGGACTTAGAACGCGTCGCTTCGTTTTCACAGCCCTATCGGATAACCTGCAACAATGGTTGGAAGTATGAACAGCAGTTTCGTCGACAAGGTGAGTAAGTAGTTTTTGACAAGATAGTACAGAGTATGACAGAACTGTCTTATCTAGTGCCAACTCATAATATGAACACAACCTGCACAAATTCAATCTGTTGAAAACTGAAGCAACTCCAGAAGTGAATTGGAGGAATACATTTCAGTTCAAAGTCAACAAAAGCTCTACTTGCAATCTGCAGCATATTAGTGAGTTTTGTGTTTGATGATTTCTGAGACTAAACTGCATAGCTTTGTATGTACAACAATGCTGAGTCTGCTGTCGCCATAGTGACACGAACCCTACACACCTAATTGCCCAAATAACCTCACGAAAGTTTGAACCTTACTAACATGAGGTAAATGTACGAGTACCTATTTTGGTACTCGTACATTCAAACATAAACCCTAAACAGAGGCTCGTTATCTAAACTGAGTAAGTTTAGGATTTAGGGGTACCACCTGTATGTATAGAATTTGCAGAACAAAGTCCTTCAGTATCAATCCAGAATCCTGTGTGTCTAGGGTTTCTGAATCGATATTTAAGTACTGTGTTCTCTTCTTTAGCTTGCTCAGTTGCTGAAGAATTACATAATCCGATCTCCTTTTCAGGATAACAATAACATTGATGATAATTGGCTTCACTTTGAATCGAAGGATAACATGAACATTATACTATTGTTAGCATTTACATCAACAAGTTGTACAAATAGTTTGGTGTCGTCACTCCATGAGGTTGAGACCTTTTACCTTCGGACAATGAGGTACTAAATATGAACATTATATTATTCGAGAATGTAATGGATGGTGCAACCATGAAAACGCAACGTTGGTCGATGAAAAAGCTGGCAAAGAAGCTGATTTCTTCCATCGATCATTTCTCACCATGGCGATTTCATATCACTCATTCATCAGGATAATGCAGATAGTGCACCTGCAAGACCGGATCAAGTCCATGGTGTTGAAGCCATCGATGGCATGATAATTAAGAAGAATCGTCTCCTGCAGGTGTACATCGAATGTCTAGGGTTCAAAAATTCTAATGTTGCAGTTTGTAATATCGACAAAAAATTGCTCCTTCTGATGAATTATGAGTCGTTTCAGTCCATGTTTGAGCCACTGTGTTTGCCAACTCTCTTCGATTTAAAAGCACACAAGTAAAGAACCGTTTATTCCACTTCAAACCGAAATCATCAGGTTTGTTTAGCCGTAGCACGACTAGATGAAATTCGCTGGACATTTCTGACTGCAATCGTCATTTCAACACGAAATGTCGACTCCTCGCACGAAACGAAATTGGTGGAGCCGACTCCAAGGCCAATTTGATGTTTCGGATCGAAGAATCTGCTGTGGACATTTCTGACTGCAATCGTCATTTCAAAACGAAACGTCGACTTCTCGCCAGCCAAGAGACAAGCTGGCAACAGATTGGAATGCAAGAGGATTTGAAATCTGCTTTGTTTATGAAAAAGGGAGCTATAAGTAAAAGTAATATATATATGAATCTCATGGAGAGTTTGATCCTGGATCCTACTGATTCTGGACCGGTGGAGCCGAGTTCAAGGCCACCTTGATTTCTCGGAACATTTTGCTGTGCCACTAAATTTCACGAGCCGTTCTCGTGGCTAATCGAGAATTTGTCACAAGTTCTCTCACTGATATGTGAGATGAATCCCATGTAGTCGGCTGATCAAACGGTTGATATCTAAGAAACGTAACAATCTTTTCATCCACTGTTGTCTACGTTAACTCTCTCCTTCCATCCTTCTTTGTTTTCATTGGGTCTCCCCGTGGAGGGAGGATGGGCTGCGCCGGCCAAGGAGGTAGTGCAATACCAAGGCGACACTGGCGAACCCGAAGCAGCAAGCTACTCCGTTGGGCTCGCACCCGTGAAAGAAATAAGATTAATATCGTGAGGGTCGATGACCCTCGTATCAGATATTAAACTGATAAGAACAGATACTACACTTGATCTTAGCCAAAAGGCCGAGAAAGGTATACTTCAATTGCCAAGTAACGGAGTTTATATTACTCGATTGAGCACTTCTTGTTGCGCTCTGTGTATGGGTTTTCTTGAAGAACCTTCTACGTTCTCAGTTTCGGAAAATGCGGCATTAAGCTTTCTGAAGCGGGCCGGATTTCACATCAACCAGTTGAAGTGGATGTTTTCTCACGCTGGTCCTCTATTGGCACAATTTTTCTCTCCAACACAGCTACTTGCGGTGGAGGCTCTCCTTTTCTCTTCACTGATCACAGTCATATGCAGGAAATTTCTTTTACTTCGATCGGCATGTTAACCTCTGACTCTGTCTCTATTTGTTTCGCAGACATCTCGAGTTTCGTTGGGGCGCATGATTAATGTATCGATTATGGGAATTTCTGTTCGCAGCTAAGAGGAAATAAAAGAGTATTCCTTTTGACTGGCCTCCATAAACACAAGCTGTGCCGAAGGGCCCAGTCTCAGTACTTGTCACTGACAACATCACACGGTCAATGACAGTCACGAGGGACTTGTAACACGATAGTTCTTCCTGTTTCATATGCATCTTTCTTGCTTACGATAGAAGTTGTGCATAAGCTGGACAGAATTCTTTCTACTTCACTTCGATTGCTCGGTCTTCTGTCATAGAATATTCGTTTACAAGGTGGATGCCAAAGTCTTTTTTCGGTTCCTTTCGTGCTGATCGCTAATGTACATTTCTACCAAGGTTTTTCACCCACTGGTGTCAGCACTTCATACTCAGACTGACGATAAGGTGATCCTTAGGTACAGTCGAAGAATAAAAGGATTATTCATCTTGTTATTCTCGTTGTTATTGTGTCGACAACAATCTACTGCAACGTACAATTGTTATGTATTGAGTCCATACTATGGACTTCTCGTACAAGTCCAATATTATCTTTCAAATTGCATAGATTGTTGGAATTGATTTCTGTACTGGTTCTCATTAAGCAAAGAATTGGAACCGTTTGCTGCTTGAAAACAGTTCAACTCATCGCTGTATTTAGTGCGGCTAACATTTGCAATATTATTACTGTCTTGAGAAGCTTGTCCTTTAAATTGTTTCACAGACATATCTCCTTTCTTTTACTAGATCTGAAGAGAATCTTGTCCACTTGGCTACTTTGAGCTCTTTCCACAACTTTGAGTTCTTTCCACTTAAATAAGATATTGACTGCAGTTTTGATATTCTCTTTTTATTCATGATCACCTATTTCACCAGCTGGGACTAGAGCGGATTCAGCCCTCAACCCTTTGGAAACAATGACATCTTCAAAGCTTCGAGCTAGATGTAGATGATCAGGAGAGTATTCATGGAAGTGATTATAAAGTATTGAAAGGGAGCTTAGCCATCCGAGGTTTGATCTTGGAGAAAAAACTTGAGAGAAGAGACCAATCCCTAGTGTCATGGCTCAAGTTGTAAACTTGTCCGTCGTTTAGTACGAGGAGAAAACGTCCAGCTCCCTTACAGTCTCCATGATCTTTCTGAGGAAGTGAAATCTGCAAGAATCACACTGTTGATGTCATGACTTAGTGACTTCTAAGAAACAGTGAAAGAAGTTTCTGTGAGCAGACGGCGTAGAACCAGGTCCATGAATCCCTGTACTCAACTGACCCGGAAATTAATAGGACCCAATTTTTCTAACTCGAATCGGTCAAGATGGTCATACTATTCAGTGCAGTGTAACTCTAGTATGATTTCGTGTGTGACAAGTATGGAATTCTAAATTCCCATAACCGAGGACCTGGATTTTCAAATGCTTATCCGGCCCGGCGTTTATGAGGTCACCTTCATGAAAATCATAAATGCTAATACATCGCAGGTCAGCGCACCCCTTTGAAAGGATATTTGTTTCTCGTATGGGAAGTATCTGTATGTGCAGTAGACGGATCAGAATGCATGAACTTAATCTTGCACGACAAAATGATGATTTGCAGTCGAAGTTCGTGTAGGAGTCGTAATCTATACGACTGCGCATATGCTGATGAAACAAGAACATTCCAGTATTGATATTGTTGGACCGAAACGACTCTGCCAGAAACTGAATCAGAACTGATGCGAAGTTGCTTCGCGTGGTGTTATTTGAATAACACAATGAAGAGCTCTGTCTTGTCATTGTTTAGAAGGGGAAGCTGTATGATATGAAACTGGAAACTCATTATAAGGTCCTAAATCGAGTATCTACGTTGAAAAAACCAGTCTCTTTGTAAAGATTGAAAACGCATGTATCATCCATATTTAGGTGGAAGAAACTCAAATTAGGTGGAAGGAAATTTCACGGACTTAAACCAAAGTCATCACCATGTATCATCTCCATTTCTTATTTCCAATTCTGAATTTGTGATGAATAAAACACCACATTTATCAATCAATCTTCCTGGTTTTACTCGCAGACGTCACCCTAGATTCCGAATCGGATATGATTCTGCTTGCAAAGAGCACAACCATAAGCACAGTGACAATGAAATTGAAGAAACTGTTAAACTTCGATTATGTTGAACAATACTGCCTCTGATAGGCATTCGTCCACGTAACCAGAAAATAATCCGGCTAACAAGATTCAGAGCTTCTACAATAGATTTTTAGCAAAGCCCTGAGCCACTAATGTTTGGTTCTAGCCTGTTGACTCAGAGTAGATGTTATTTGCCCTTATTCTTTAACTAAGCAGGCTATGCAAGAAGAATGAAGATTTGAGAAAGATCCGCCCAGAATTGGTGCTAGTTTCCACTAGAGGTTTCGTCAGCAAGATACATGCAAGTTTTTAAACCAGCATATTGGTTCAAAAGCTTGGATCTGCAACCACTCCACTGTACAATCTCCTTGTCCTGAGCTCCTGGATCATCATGGTGTGATTCCATTCATCGACAGCAATCGTATCCACCATCGCAGCTTGATAGTAAGTGTATAGGCTAGCAGATGTGAAATCACATGAATAATATAGATCTTCAGCAGATCTCGCGGTATTCGGTGTCCGCTTCTTTACTCTTCGATGCAGTTCTCGTGTTATCCAACATCGGCCTGGTCACGCTATACTATGTCATAAAGCTCTTTGGATGATGCTCGACAGAAGTCAAAGTGGATGTATACTGAAGCACGTAGGATCTCCATTGGAAGCAAAAACAATCCTTCATAAGATTCATTACAGAGATGTAAGAGCGCTTGAAAAGACCAGCGTGTTCCGTCATCGGGTGTTTACGTGGTACAAGCTCTGTTAGTGTCCACCTCGCTCAATTCTCAACTTCTCCTGACAGAAAATGTGAAAACATTGCGAGTTTGGGCCACTCCGATAGCTAAAACGTAGTTTTCAGACCGAAGATAATAAGAAACGCACCGAAGTATGTGGAAAAGAGACGATCTCTAGGATGAGGCACTTTGAATGCAGCACATGATACTTTAGAACGGTTGTGGAGGAAGATGGAGCAAGATGGAGCTCAATTGAGAAGATGCTTACGCTCTCTCTGTTTGTGAAGACAAATCTGCTGCAGTGCTTCGCTCAAGGAAACTGGAGGTTGAGGTAAACCTCCAGCATAAACCGAAGACTGGAGTCACTGAACATTATTTCCTTGGAACAGTTGGAGCAAAGGGAAAAGATTCGATTCTGGTGTCGATCATGCTCTTCTTCGATTTGTGAACCGAATCCAGTCAAGTCATTCTGTGAGAATGCTTCAATGCATCCAGTATACTACACCGCCTGATATACGTGCTGTTAGGAGTCGATAGTCAAGTACGCCGTCAGGAATTTCCATCAACTTGTTCGAGGTCTAGGCACAATTTCAACGTCGAAGGTAAGACGAAATACACACTTAAGATTCTAAAGCTCGATCATGATTCTTAGTGGCCCAATTAAATCAGGACTTCATCTATTTCAAGACGGATTCCGAGCCCCCACGAGAAAGTCTAGTGGAAGACCAGGATCAGGAGGAAAGATTCAGAAGAGGGCACTCTTGAAATCCAGGAAACGGCATTGACTTGTCACTCTGACGATCACATCAGGAGACGTGCAGCTACAAAGTTGATCAACTTCTCCCCACAAATGCAAGAGATGCATTAGGCCGGGAAACTATATTCATGCTCAATATGTCTACACTTTCGGTGTGACCGGGCACCGGAGAACGAGTTTTGCATCCAAGATAACAAATGGTTTACAACGACTTAGATGGATGAAAAACCCAAAGGTGTAACAAAATGTACATAAAAAAGATGATCGGTGACATTTGGAAAGCCATTATACATTACTGAATCAAAATCTACAATTTTGTAACTTTGCCTGCATAGACTAGCCCATAGTAGCAAAAAAGTGAATGCAAAGTTTATAAGAAATTTGCATCGATCAAAGATGAATCTTTCTCATATCCTAAACTCTGAAGATAACCTAATCGCCACAAATAATATTTTTCTTCCGTTTGCAGGTTCATCGTAGCAATCATTCATATGCATGATGTAAGCTGCAGACTTCGGGTAACTCTCGGAAGATGAAACCATGCGAACGAACACGATCTTCACATCCGAGGGTCCTAGACCTGTCGCGTGCGCGCCGCCCGGCCGCCCCGGGGAACGATTCAAGCTTCGTCGTCCGGAGCCACCGACAAACAGAAACGATCTTCAATCTTCGGACGACGACCTTTCCTGTAGGCCGCCTACGGGAGCACAGACACACTCACAGACATCAGACATCAGCACGGAAGTCCAATTCGAGCCCTGCGACAATCACGGCCACGTGCCGATCGCGAGGAAAAGTGGCAATTCTGGCCTCGACGAGGCATTCTTCGAGAAATCCCGGGAAGAAAAGTAAAAGGGCACGGAAACGGGCATTGAATCCCGCGCAGGCATCGATGTCGTTGTGGCCCAAGGTCCGTCCGTGAGCAACGAACACATCGACCATGACCAAGGGTCCGGTCAGAATTTGACCGGACGCTCGGGTTACACTTGGGGCGCACACAATCGAAGCACTGTACTGTACCTCTGTCTCTGTAGAGCTGCGCATGTCATGTCGCTCTTTGTGTATGGGGTTGATTTGACCTGTGGTTAACAAGTAGCTCGCGTTGGTTAGTTCTTCGGATGATGACTTTCCTCATCAGATCACTGACATTTAATGATTGATCTACTGGATGGAGGTTTCGCCATTTCAGAGAGTTTGTGGCACATTGTTGTGGCCCTAAGTTGAGTTTAATGTGACACATTCCGTCTGTAAAATTTTAAACTCTATGGCATAAGACTTTAACAAAATCGGTGTGTGATTCCTTTAAGAAAATATCAAGGATTGCAAAGATTAGAGAGAGGGGAGAGAATAGAATGGATCAAGAGGCGGGGATCATTTTTCGCATGTTTTTCAATATGTGAACAATTTCTGTACACTTATGCAAAGAATGATCCTCCGGTTTCCTTTGACTAAAATGAATAGATTTTTTTATGATCTTGTATTTTTGGGTTCCATTGGTTTAGATTGTATAGTATGAAGAATTTTCAGAATGTATCTTACTTATAACAATGTTAAAATTAAAATTTTTGAGTAATATTTTTAATTATGTACTTATGGCTAGTGTTCATTTTTCTAAATCTCTGGCTTTTTATGAGGCGATATTTATCGATGTGAGACCGAATCTATCTTTTTTTTACCTTGATAGGTATAAGATTTGTTCTCTTTTTACTTCTTTGACCGCCAATTGTATTAGAAAAATACTATCGAATCGATGGACCCAAGAGTTTTAGAATACCTAACATACATCCTTCGGTGGATTTCTCTATTATGTGTAATGCAAGGATTTGTATACAATCTTGCTTACAAGATTATCAAGTCAATACAAGGATACATTACGTGAATTTTCCCACGTTTATGCATTACACACCACTTGAAGGATCACTTTATGAGGTATCGAATCGAAAAATTTTCGAATGTTTCCCTCCACAACCCAAGGATAGTGACCTCCCTCTAAGCAGAGCTCATCTTTTATTTGTACACAATTAACGGAGGCCTTGAGCACATATGTTACTACGTCTTTAATATCATGTTTTTACTTTTTATTTCCTTTTTTAAGTTATCAAATTTGGTGTTTTTTGATGCCCAGTTGCTATGAAGAACAAAGAAAAAAATATACTAAGAGATGTGATTGAAGGCTGGTTGCTTCACTATATGCCTACTAACTGGTAGTTAATTCTGTGTTTCACAATTAGCACTATCTAATTTCTACATATCTCTTTTGAGTTGGTACATCAGTCTAAATCTTCATTACTCACATGTGAGTAAGGTAAATTTAGACTCAACATATGAAGACCTCGTGTGATATCACATGAGGTGTTCATTTTACTAGTTGCTTCCTTGGTTCATATATCTTGGGAGAGACAAGTGTGGCCATCTATTGTTTTTTTTTTTTTGCAATTAACTCAAACCTCTTCTACTCAACGAATTTCTTTTACTTTTCTATATGAACTAGCTAGTGAGTTCTCTACAAGAGCATTCGCGGAATGTGATGCTTCTTTGAATGGCCATGTCATTTGTAAATATTTAGATCCAGATTTTTTGAATCGTAGATGCATTAATTCACTTTTTCATTCTTGCGCCAATGGGACCTAACATCACCATGATATATGTCTTGATTGGTCTATGGGGATCTAGCCCATGTTTTACATTTCTTATCTTCCTTGTACGAATTGATGGGATATTCCTTCATAATTATAAATCGGATGTGTCTTGCATGCTCGAAATTTAACTGTAAGAGATGAGTTGCAGATCCAGTAATATCACAAATAGCTCATCCACCCACAAAGTTACAGTATTCTATCCTATCCACTTATATCTCTCCATGAAGTTGTAATTTACCGTGGAATCATACCTAAACTCTATCACTTAGAGTTAAGGTATCTCCAATCTTGGTGGAATAGGTTATTGCTCTCTTTTCACATTAAATTCCAGTCATATTGTTGACATTTTTCTCTACTTTAGCATACCTTTCTAAGAAACTTCATTCACCCACGGACACTTTAAGCACTGAATGCCAAGACTGGTGAGGATGCCAAGCACACTACTCAGTGGTAAGTCATCACGCAAATTCAGATATGTCTACGGCATATAAAGTTATTATTCCAAGACATCTAGAGATTTTCTTACATCTCATGTTTATGTAGCTGCTTCCTTCCCTACTTCCCATTCTAATTACCATCGCCTGTGGGCTTGGATTCTTAAATCACTAGATTTTCCTTGCTTCAAAGACAAGCAATAAGCATTGTAGAGAAAGTACAAGTTTCATCGCTTTCTTCTTGCGTATACCTATGTTGTAAAAAGATCTACTGCAATATGTGGGGCCGAAAGGAACAACTTATCGTGTATGGATATGAAGTGCAGGACCAAAAATTAAGATCATGTATCTCTAGCCGTTCTCTTCTAACCGTTGGCGTCCGTCTCTTCTAACCGTTGGTCGATTCCACTTGTGATTGAAGGGCGACTTAATGGATGTACAATTTCTCTAGGCTGGTTTCAATATCAGTTGCCGATATTGCCCTTTTTTTTTATTAATATATCACAGCAGATCTAGAAGATTGTTCGTGAAGTAGAAGGTAAGCAAACCATCCTCCATTCACCTGATGTTTATTTCGTTCCAATTCTCTTGAGCAACATTCAGAATAGAAAAAGGCTTCGAAAGGTTGTCTACTAGACTCTTTACCGAACAAACGTTGCCTGTAGAAATCCTGTTGCAAACTTGACGAATTTTGATACTTTCATCGGGAAATATGACTTTGTTGAGATAAATTTCTCCCTTCGAAAAGAAAAATGGTGAAAAGCCGCCACATGCAAACATGAACCCCGACACGGGAAAGCGCATACATAGTAGTCAAACAGAACAACACAAAACCTGAGACAAAACACACGTAGATCAATGACCCCGAATGGCGTAAAGTCACCGATGACTTGTTTGCTTCCCTGCTTCACTATGACAGAATCAGGAAAACCTGAATTCGGCTCCTGTTTACATTCAAAAAAGTTCCTCCCGGTCTCTCAAACATCGTCCTGTCCAGGTACTAAGCACATAGTGGGACTGGACTACCGCTGGAGAAGAATGATTTCTCAGATATCGAAAGAAATCTGGTTGAATGCCAGGTGCCTAAAGAATAAGGTCGAATCTAAAGATGGGGTACAGGTGGAACTGTCAGTTGCTATGAACTACATACTAGTATAAAGAGCTGCTATGATTTGTGGAGGCCTATCTGATGACTACTAAACTGCTATAATCTATAATTGTACAACGTAACTTCCCCCCAGCCTTCCGTTTGAAGGGTGTTTCTACTGTTCTTCACTACTCCCCTCTCTAGGCCGTGCATGTAAGGTCTCGAAAAATGACATACAAGGAGCATTTTAAGTATAGAAGCATTTCAACTACGATCTTAATTCCCACCACTCAACTCTACTCTCTGAAACTAGTGGAAAAAATCCTCATATGTGCTGAAACAAAATATCAGAAGATATTCTCCATTTTGGGCACGAGAGCTTGACAAAGCTCTTGCGCTTGAAATTTTAGAAGGCCTACTAAGCTGATTTGCAAAAATGCTGGAGGTCTACGATCAAAACACTAATATCGTCGTGACATCCACGTTCGATGGCGATCTCGAGGAGTCTCTTGCATGCAGCGACTGGACCTGCAGAAGGCGCAGGTGTTTCGGGAATTCCGGTTTCTGGAACTCCGATATCAAAAGTTCCTGCGAATATGTCAACTTCATCCTCAGTGGTTGAGCATGATTCCTTGCTTTTCTCACAATCCGTCTTCGACGACATTTGCGGGCTTCCATCTGAAAACTGGCCGTCAAACAATCGTGAATGATTCTCAATGGCACCTCCCTCTGCTCCACCTTCCTCGCTTGTACCGGAGGTAAGAGTTGACGCCGTAGACTCTGACTCCACCTTCGTGGCCGCCGCTGCTTGCAGCACAACTCTGGCGAAGTCTACAGCCTCTTGATTGCTCACCTGCAAGGACATTAGGTCAGGATGATGTCAGACTGGGATCGGGAAAGTCCGTCTCAAACCCTACCTCCCTCCAGTTATCACATCAGTTACTAACGATCTACAGTTAGAGGACTGTCGTGGTTGTCTAATATTCATACATCCTGATGACGAAAAGCAGAAATTCGTCGCGAACATGTGAACAGGAGCAAAAGGTCTTCATGAAATCTGACGCAGACATCTGGAGTGTGGCTGTCAACATCGACAAGGAACCTACCGCATCCCAAAGACCATCCGATGCCAAAATAAGGAACTCGCAATCGGACGTGATTTGTAACTTCTGCACTTCTGGTTCAGCCGATATCCATTCTTTCAGGTGGATGTCGCCGATACCCCTCGATACGGCCAAGACACCTTGAACTCTCCAGGTGCCAGTCAAATTGTCCACGTAGCCTCCCTGTACATTGAAGTTTCAAGATTAGCTCGGATATCCAAGCCTAAATTATTCAACCTTTACAGATGACAGAAGGTCAATGTCAACACTAGAATTCCAAAACCAATACCCTCATGGGTCAGTTTCATTACAACGGAGGTTGAGCTCGCGGAATCTTGATGTTGGACTCACCAGCTTTTCAATCCTATTTCGCTCATCTTCTCTACCAGCTCGATGATCGCTAGTGAGAGCCTCTGCCTGTCCATCCCGGCTCAAAACTGCTCGACAATCGCCAGCGTTTGCGACCACCATGTAACCATCTCTCATAATGGCAGTTACACAGCTCGTTCCGCTACCGACACCCTGTGAAAGCAATTTCTGACCGGGTTAGTACATGAAGCTCCGTAACAACCCAATAATAACAATCTGGAGGAGCAATTAGATGATTCTATGTTAACATTATTAAGATTCTCCTTAATTTTACCAAAATTCGAGGGAAGGAACATATACATGACACAGAGAGAGCGCGCATAAGGATGACGAAAATCAGGAGCACAGCAACGGAGGAGATGAGCCAAGAAACCGTTCGGATGTCAGAAACATGACAAAGAGGCATTTGAGATCGTATATGGACTTTAAACAGGCGATGTCTTGCAAAGACTGTCACGAAGAGTACTACAGACATTAAGAGAAAAACTAAGCTTCATAATACCTTCTTCAGGAAATCGGCGTCGGTGGTAAGATAGGCAGCCCGAACGGCTGCTTCCATGTAGCCCTCCTCCTTATCCGAACTTTCCATGGCGTCGACTATATTGTGGACTAAGTTCTCTGCAGCGAAGTCAGCTGCCTTCCTTCCTCCATGACCGTCGAAGACACCAAAGAAGGCCTGCGTTCACACAACAATTGTTTTGTTTAGAGCTTCAACTATACTTTCGTGCACTTGACGTATAGATTTTCCAGATTATCAACAATCTTTCGAGCGCGGATTGGTGGAAGGTTTAGACATCTGCCTGGACTTAGTTATCACGGAACGGCGTAATGAAGACATTGACAGACAAAACATATGAAAAAGGTCTGCACGCACCTGTCGGGGATCCCCATTCATGTCAGGAATGGCGCGTTGGATGTCTTCGAGGTGCTCCCTCCGGCCTTTCTTACACGATATTCCGAAGTATGGACCTTCGAATGTCATTTCATTGATTGCATCCTCGTTCAGATCCACGCCATGCGGCATCATGTTTGGCACAACGTTGTTGCCTGCTGGGATTTTCAGCTTGGGAGGGCGTTTACGCTTCAATGGTGGCGTACTCGGGCGCCCGCTGTGCCCAACGACGTCCTTTTCACCTGTGGTTGATTCTCCTACATTTGGTTGGAGAGGTTCTGATGGGTCCTCCTGATCTTTGGGGATGTCCAAGCTGAACAAATCTTTGGTACCAAAAATCCAAGATCCTGAATTACCACCACCTGCATTCTCTTTGTTCTCAGATTCATTGCTCCCAGCAGAAGGATGGATTTTGGCATGGCTGACCCGAGAGAATAGAGGCTTCGGAGATGAAAAATGCGATAGGTTGTTGCACCCTCCAAATCTGGGTGAGGGAGCCTCGACGTGAGATTGTGGTTGAGAGGTCGAGCTTGAGAACCTGGGGGACGGGATACCCTTGTTGGTGAAAGAAACGCCGTTGGAGCTGTTCAAGACGGTGTTGTGAGAGGAAATGCCATTGCCCATCCGCGAGGAAGGACCCTCCAGAGGTGAAATGGCAGAAGCACCGGACTTTACATCTGAATGCGATTCCCGTTTCTCCTGGAAAGCCCGCCATCGAACCTCACCGGGAGATGCCGAGGCCAAGGTGCAAGAACAAGAGGAGCAGATGGAAAAACTTGCGCACGAACACGATGATCTCGTGGTCGGCGTGCCTATGGGCGAGGTCCATGACGGCGTTTTGGGCGAACACAGGACCCGCGGAGATGCAAGGGTGATGGGAGAGAGAGCGGACGAGGGCTTGTGAATGGAAATCATGGGTGAGAGCTTGGGGGGAGTGGAAACCAAAACAGATGAAGGCATTAAATCTAGGCTCGAGCCCGGAGACGGTGATCGAGAATCCGCTTGTGGGCTGCTTTCCTCGCGATGTCTAATGGAAGGCGAAAGGCACGAGGCCAACGCTGGTGAGGTTGCGACGGCAACACACGACATTCCATTCAATTCTCAGTGCGACGGTAAACTCGTTCTATCAGGAATTCCATCAGTGGCGCGCAATATAGGCACATCATGCGGCTTGAGACCTCAGCACCGGCCTTGGCAAACCCTCTCACGATGCGCAGAGCCTCGTTTCCCCGATGGGAGACTCACTCGTCTGGCAAGTGACTGCCACCCGAGCTCCTCCGATGCCAAAGCTGGCTTCCTCGCTTGCCTTGCTTGCCTTGCTTGCCGAGTCTCGACTTCCTCTCTGTAAACGCGTCGCCTTTTCGCAACGCTATCTATCGTACTACAGGTCGCTCGCTGCTTCACTCTAAAGCTTCCGCACACTACTACGACAACTACGACGACACCAACAACAACAACAACTGAGAATCGCGTCCCACCGCCTCTTCTCCGCTGTCCGCCTTTCAAGCAGCAAAGCAAAGCCACGAGAGTCTGGTCTGCCTACTAGCGCATGTCTGTCACCACAGGTCCGATGCTCGGAGCGTCTTGAAGAGCGTGTAGGGGGTGGTGCCGGGAAGAAAGATCTCCACCCGAATGCGAATCCGAGCAGCAGCGTCCTCCAGCTTGCAAGTGAGTGAGTGGATGAATCGCGCGGTCAAGCTTCGACGGCAGTGGCCATCGCCACTCGGGACAAGAAGAAGGCGAGACAGGAGGAGGAGGAGGAGGAGGAGCGGGAGGGGGAAGGAAGTGAAGTGGCGACGAAGCGAAGCCAGCCAGCGACGGGCGCGAAGGCCAAGCAAGCCCAAGCCAGCCCAAGGCAGGGCCCGACGCAATCCCCAACCCTACCCAAAGCAAAGCAGTCCGTAGTCAACCCTCAACGGATAGAGCCGCTAGACACCTACGGCCACATCTACCCGCCCCAATTCACCGTGACCTATTAAAGCAGCCAGGCGAGCCCGTAAGAACTTACGGGCCGGCCTTCCGGCCTCCGGCCACCCGTCCTCCGATTGGTTGGCCGTATTCAGACGCCGAACTCCAAGCCCGAGCGGGGGAGTTATGACATCAGATTCGAAGCGGAAGAAGATCAGAACATCAGACAGCGAGGGCCAGTCTTGCCGGGCACCGGAGTGGGAGCGGGCTGCCGAACGGTCGAATCCACCGGCTCAGGCGGTCGTGCGGGTGCGCTGGTGCCGGTGGGAATGCGAAGACGGAGTTTGGTTTGTTAGTGGCGATGTCAAACCCGGTCTCCAACCGTGAGGGGAGTTACCGGCTGATGGGAGAAGTCGGAGACGTTTGGGATCGGATTGGTGCGGGGGGAACTGCGTCCGGTAAATCTGCTGCTCCGTTGATCGATTGGGATTGGGGGGCGAAACTCCCGTTGTCGAAGCAAATGAGATTACATTCTGTACGGAAAGCTTCTCATAAACTTCAAGGGGAGAGCCCTCGACGGTAGATGTGAACTAATTGAACGACGAGAAGGGAAACCGAGTGATATGGCGAAAAGGATGGCAATAGGCCCATCAAGTCTTACAATGATGAAACCAAAAGGGTGGGGGATGAAGTGGATGTAAACTGTTTGGATAAACGTGGGTTTACGTTACAGGTTTTGTGCTCTTTTCGAGCGAATCGAATCGGATTTTCGAGTAAAGATATTTTATGGTACCTTTTGCTATAAAAATAGACATCACTACATTTGTTGATATGTTATAGGGCTTGCATTGTCTCTTAAACCTCAAAGTCTTCCTGTGGACTGGCGTCATTTATGAGATGCTATAGTGTTCAAAGTTAATCAATTTTCAAAATGACCCGTTCCGCAAAACATTTCATGACAAGTTTGAGAAACATTTGGTTTCAATTGATGTAGAACAGGAGATTAGCTAGTCAATTAAACTCAGGGCACTTGATGACTTCAAACAGTGAGATTCGTGAGTTGGGCTATTCACTTTAAGAAACCATTACAACTTCATTATCTAGAAGTGATACTCCATAGTTTAAATTAGACAAGTAGTCCTTCACATTTGAAAAAAACTATTTTAACATATTTTTAAGTAAACAAGGAACATCCCAGTTGGGAAACAATGTTTGAATCATCTCAGAATACTAAAAAACTTGGAATGTCCACAAAACAAAAGTGAGAACTTTATGACTAGCAACAGTTGAAACGCATTCATTCACATTCCTTTAGCTTTCTATTCAATGATCTTAGATCTTTCAAGGGTATCATCGAATGCTTTTAAGATAAAAAATTCTTCGTGTTCAAATTTTCATTTAGAAACAAGTTACAGTTGTAAATCATGTGTTAATGTTTTAACACATTGAAACGATAATTCGACTCATCCAAGATTATGAAATAGCATAGCATTACTATCAAGTGCTACATGTCTATCACTATTATTACATCAAGTATTATCCTCATATAAAATATTTTCAATTTTTAGAAAAATGATCATAAATAAAATCAGACAGTTCATAATTTCAGGAGATTAATGATGTTTTGAATTCATTGAAATATGTAATATTAAACTTGATACATATTTCATTTCTTAAAATCCATTTATCAACAAAAAAATTCTCAAATAATGGATATGTGCATCATTTTAATTTTTGTAAAATTTTGTTAAAAATTTTTGTAAGAAAATATTACCTAATTCATCAAATGTCGAATATTCTGATCACAATTCTACTTGTCTGATAAATTGAATTTTATGTTTTAAATCCAATTATTGCAACAACAGTTAAAGTGCAAAAATATGAAACTGAATCTCAACAAATTAGATTAAAAGTTACAAGGTATAGCTTCTTTTCATTCTCATTTTGTTAAAATTTAGACAATATTTATCAAAAAATTAACTTATGAAGTTGAAGCTAGTTCTAGTAGCTTCTAATCTTAACAAACATAATATTTAATATATTTCTAGTAGCTTCATATTGATATTTTTAATCATTATCAGACACAAATATTTATACTATATATATCAATTTATTGAGTAATATAAATTGTTATTTGAAATGTTAAAAATTATGATTTTTTATGCAAATTTTTTTAGTTTGATTTTAAATAAAATTTTGATCTAATTTTTAAATTGATGTCGTATTTTTTCTGCTTATCAAAATTAATGTGTGTATTTTCTTGATTTTTATTTCCAAAATATTTTTTTACTCACACACCTTCGCAATGATAGTTTTTTTACGTTTTTTTTTCTAAGAGAAAATAAATATTTTGAAAGTTATATGATACTGATTTGTAAAATTTAATATATACATTTTAAAATCACAATTATTATCTCACGCATCCACACCAAATTTCGATAGGAGTCTTTTGTTAATTGAATAGCATTTGCTCTTGTGCTATTCTATCTTTTTCTTATCAACAAAGTATAATACAAATCATGAAATAGTCTGCTTAATTTGCATTTGATCTTAATGATAAGATCTTCTTCACTCATTTGACAGCACATGCAAGAAATATGTCAAACTAAAAACTTATCAGTGACACAAAAAAATAATGAAATTATATGTTTTCTGTTTTATCGATGTATGCATACATCATAAAAATGAAGCAAAGGTACCTAATATAGCCAGTGTAATCAATGCGCTCTGAAAATATACAAGAATTAAATTAAATTCTCAACCTGAAATCAATACATCTCTTGTATCAACGTGAAGTAAGACATACACATACGCTAAATAATAGCTAGTTACTCAAATAAAATGATCATAATACTATAAAACAGTTTCACAATTTGAGAACATAATCTAACCTAAAATAAAATTTATTAAACTCATTTTAATTGCATATGAGTCTGAATTTTTACTATATTATTCTAGGATGAAAAAAATGAAAAAAAGTGATTTTAATCAAATTATATATAATTTGAATTCCCTCCAAGATAAGAAATTTATGATTTTTTCCTATATCTAAAGGTATAATGATGAGGTCAATGTCCTTGTGTAAAAAAAGAAGATAAAAAATAATCAACATTGACATTGCATTATGTGAATTTAAAGTATTGACATTAGTTTTGTGTTGTATATAACAATAATTTGACGTGACTGAAGTAGAGTGTTTGGAATATTAATTAAGGTAAGAAAACACTAAATTGCACTTTGAAACTCCATATTTAATTTTCAATGATTAATTTTTATTATAGATTTCAATTGACGATATTTTATTTTAAATTTTTTCGAACACAATCTTTTGCAGTTGGCAGCTACAATGATTAAGGTTCAAAATTTAAGACATTGTGAACTTTAGCAAAATACTCATCTAATTTTTTGAATTTAGTTAGATTATAGTTTGTGATATTGTATGTAGTATTTTGTTTCATTATGCTTTCAATATAATTTTGACGTTTTTTTCCATCCAACAAATTTCCAATCCAAGACCATGACACGATTATATGTGATCGCAAGAAGTTAATTTTTTCTTACTCTAATGGTGTTTCCATTGTGATTAGCATCACACCAAGTGGCTCAGGGAGCAGATCAATAACCACATTGGTTTCCGACAGACATAGATCATTTGGATATCCACAGCACTAGTTCATGTTCACTAAGCGTACGCTAATGGGTTCTAGTCCCATGTACCGGTTTCGGTTTCATCGGTGTCCGAATCGAAGGGTTAGGTTAGTTCATACTCTGTGATATTTCACTTTACATTTATTTTTTCACACGATAAATATTTCAAACTTTGCAGGCCTCATATTCCTTACCTTTTATAGATAGCGAGGCTCCGAACTAAATGGAGAAAGGTCGGTGGGCAGAGGCCTCGAGCGACGAAGCCCGTGCTCGGAAACAGCCGGCGATGTGTTCGCATGCATGATGCCGGTGGGACATGCATACGGACACTGCAACAGCGCTCTGGTCTGGCAAGTCGCGGGCCCGGCGGCGGCCTCCGGGCCCCGAATTCCGATAGTTCGTTAAGCCTATGGCAGGCCCGAATACAGTATGCCCCTGGGGCCACACGTACCATCAAGTACAAGTACACTTCAGTACTTTACTGTAATTAGCCTTTGTATTGACTTTGGGGCTTAATGATAATCTTGGCCGCTTAGGCGAAGGTCGTTACGAGCTCTCCGGATCCGAATCGTCGCGGGCATGGCTTAAGATAGACGGGTTTATCTCTAATTACAGTAATTAGCAGAGCTGGTTCCTGTCTATAAGGCTGGCTTGAAGGCTAAGTCTGCGACGACTGCTTCAAACGGGTCCGGTGTGATCGGGCCACCTTGGGACGACCGGGCCGTTAAGGCCAGGTCATGGGCAGGGCGGATCCTCGGGCTGTGAGCGATCTCGAGTGTCCGGTCCCCTCCGAACTCGTGCTTAACAGTGAAGACAAGATTAAGCATGAGCCTCGAGGCTGTGCACAGCGGGTCACTTGTCGGGGAAGTAACTGTACTTTAACTTCCAGCCGTCTTCTGCGTCGCGAATCCTCTCTGTCGCTTTACTGCGAGTGCTGATATCATGTTTTGACGTTTTCTCGAAATTCCTCTTGTGGCTGTCGTTTCAGATCCCTGGCATGGCTGGACTTAACCGGACCGGGCTTGGTTCCGAGTCGAGTGACTTGAGTTCAAGCACGCCGCCCGACTCGCTCTTTCTTTTCCTTTACTGTACTTCGTTCCGTTCGAAAAACCCTCCTGTTGCCTTTTGCGTTCACACCTTCGATGTTCTTTTCAGGGCTAGTCGAGCGGAACCCCGTCACGAGTGCATGGAAAGTACAGACGCCATCACCGAACAGAAGTCTCGATCCCTTGTGCTGATAAAATGGGGAATAGATCTTCATATAGACCTGCAGATCTCTATAGACCGGACTTTCTGTTAGAAACTTCACTCGCTCAGTCCATTTCATCGATAAATTGTGACGTCGATTCGAAGGCTTTTTTGTTCTCC